CCCAATGCGTGCCCGGAATGTCCGTTGACACCGAGGACACGTTGGAAGCGGTTGTGCGTCGGCGTTGCGGACGGGGCGTGGCTGTGATTTGCGTGCGTCGCGTTTCACTTTGGCAGCGGCGATTCGGTTGGCCTTATAGATCGCAGCGCCTGTCTTCACTTTCCTCCTCCAGGTCGGTCGGTCGAGGGCGAACTCTTCCCAGTTGGTCGTTTAATTTGCAGATGCTTCAGGAGGGACTTCAGAGTATCCTTGTATCGAGGAATTTGGCATCCTTGGCGGCGAGAGCCCGTGGCGACGTCTCCGTAGAAGAGTCGTTTGGGTAGTCGCTCGTCGTCCATGCGCACCAGGTGGCCGCTCCAACGCAGGTGCATTTGTCTCAGTTGGAGACCGTGACGATTCCAGGCTGTGCTTTGGAGGCGGCCGAAGGCTTGACTGGCTTTCGAGCTCCTGTTGGCGACTTCGTCATCGATTTTGGCGTTAAGGAGAGGGTGCTGCCCAGGTACGGGAAGTTCTCGACCACTTGCAGTTGGGTTCAGTTCAGGTTGATTTGCGTCGGCGCGTTGGGTGCTGTGACTGAGTGGGGTGGCGGTTGATGCATGACCACCGTCTTCTGCGTGTTAATGACCAAACCGAAGTTCTCGCAGGCGGTGGAGAACAGGTCCATGCTCCGTTGCATTTCCTCTTCCGAGGTGGTGTTTCGGGCGCAGTCGTCGGCGAAGAGGAGTTCATGAACGGTGGTTGTGGATACGCGCGATTGGAAGTGCATCCGCCGTTGATTCAAGAGGTGACCGTCCGTCCTGTAGGCGATGCGGATCCCGGGGCGTTCAACACGGTAGGCGTCTATCAGCATGGCAGAGAACATAAGACTTAAGAGGGTTGGTGCCAGCACGCATCCCTGCTTCACGCCGTTGGTCACTGCGAATGCCTCTGAGACAGCTCCGTTGTCCGTGACTCGCGCCATCATACCGTCGTGTAGCTGACGCACCATCTGAGTGAATCGATCCGGACAGCCGAATTTCTGCATGATCTTCCACAGTCCTTCACGATTCACCGTCTCGAAGGCTTTCGTCAGGTCCACGACGCTAGAGTACAGGTGGGTCCGCATCTCCTGACACTTCTCCTGAAGTTGACGGGCGACGAAGATCATATCAGTGGTCCCACGATGACGACGGAAGCCGGATTGACTTTCTGGCAGAAGGCCCTGTTCGAGATGGTTATTGAGGCGGTTGAGAATGATGCGGGCGAAGATCTTCCCGGCGATGTTCAGCAGGGAGATGCCACGGTGATCGTCGCAGACTTGACGGTTTCCTTTTCGCTTGTAGAGATGCACGATTATTGCGTCTTTGAAATCTTGTGGGACTTCACCTTGGCGCCACATCTCCTGGAAGAGCGCAGTCAGGTGATCCATTATTTTGGGACCTCCGTGCTTGTAGACCTCGGCAGGGATTGTGTCCGATCCGGGTGCTTTCCCGCTGGAGAGCTGCTGCATGGTCCTGATGGTTTCCTGGAGAGATGGCGGGAGGTCGAGGTCCACGTTGGTCTCCACTTGCGGCAAACTCTCGATGGCAGTGTCGGAGATGACGGAAGGGCGGTTGAGGACGCCTCGGAAATGCTCGGCCCATCGCTGTAGGTTTTGTATCTTCTCAGTCAGGAGGGTACTATCGGCGGCGCTGAGGAAAGGAGCAATGCCCTTTGTCGCGGACCGTACACAGCTTTGACTGAGGAGAAGAAGTTCTTCCACTCGTTGCGGTCCGCGTAGCCTTGGATCTCCTCAGCTTTGCGATCAGTCCAGGAGTCCTGCATCTCACGCAGTCGTTGTTGAAGGCGGCGGCGACTGCGGAAGAAAGCAGCTTTGTTGTCGTCAGTGGGTGGTTAACGTAGCCTTTGTGTAGGCGGTTCTTCTCGGCAAGCAGATTTCTGATAACGGCGTCGCTGTCGTCGAACCAGTCCTGGTGTTGGCGGGAGCGCGACCGAGGACGGCTAGCGCCGTCGACTGGACCGTGTCTCGTAGTTGACACTAGCGGTTCGCCACGGAGGCGTTCTCGGCAGTGGCGGCGGCGTCGTCGGCGGCAGCGATAGGGAGGTTGTCTAGCCTTTGAGCTAGCTCATTTCTGAAATGAAGATGGTGAGCGGGCAAGGACAGTAAGGCAACATTCAGCTTATCTGGGGATCACTTACCTTGTGGTATCCTGAGACGCTGTAGGCGAATACGCATCTTCGAGATGACGAGGCGATGGTCGGTCCACTCGTCAGCGCCCGCAATCGCCCTTGTCACAAGCACGTCCCGCTGGTCTCGCCTCCGGACGAGGACATAGTCCAGCAGGTGCCACTGACGCGACCGAGGATGCCTCCAGGTGGCCTTCTCTCGCTCCGGCAGACAGAAGAACGTGTTCGTCAGGATGAGGCGGTGTTCAGCCAGGTACGGAGGAGCAGCAGGCCATTGTCGTTTGAGCCGCGGAGACCATGGGGACCCAGCACTCCTCTCCAGGCAGCATGGTCTGTGCCTTCGCGGGCGTTGGAGCCGCCAAGGACAGTCAACTTGTCCGCCTACGACACAGTCGCCAAGAGGGCGTGCAGGTCCTCGTAGAATTGGCCTTTGACGGCGTCGGGGTTGGTCATCGTCGGAGCGTAGGCGCTGATGATATTGGCGAATTTTCCTCCCCAGAGAGGCAGGCGGAGGCTCATCAGGCGATCGTTGATGCCCTGCGGCTAACAGGGCAGTCGTCCCACGATGTCTTTCCGAATAGCGAAGGCGACACCCGCGTCTCGTCGTTCTGCCCTGGGTTGCCCACTCCAGAAGAAGGTGTAGCCGGCACCCACCTCCTCCAGTTGGCCTTGTTCGGAGAATCGGGTTTCGCTGAGTGCGGCGATGTCCACCATGTAGCGCGCCGGTTCTCGTGCCATTAGCGCCGTCCTCCGTTCCGGTCTGTAGCTCTTTGGATTGTCTAAAAGGGAACGAACATTCCAGGCTGCCAGAGTGAGCGCGCTCACCCTGCCAGTCTGGTGACAACGGGTGGGACGACGAGAAGGAGGTGGAGAAAAAGGTGACGAAGGAAAAGAAGAGGCAGAGGAAGAGAGAGAAGAGGTAGGATGTGGAGAATGAGTATGGTAGTTGTTGTTGTTGTTTCGATTTTGATGTTTTCGACCGTGAGTTTTGCGTCTGCGACCATGGTGCGTCTGCAGACGACGTGGTTCCCCAGCAATTTTTAGGCCAATTTTTCCAGGCCCCCTCCGAAGAGAAGCATTGCCCGGTACCTGAATAGGGCTGTTTGATGTGCCGGCGCGGCCGAACTCCACTGTGTGCGACGAGTTTGTTTGGCAGTGGAAGAAGGACTCGAATTTGCCAATGGCTTACGGCATTACTGTAAGCCTGCGTTCTCCTACGGTGCACCAGATGGGCGCGAGTCCGCGATGTCGATTCGGCTGATCAACGGCGTATCAGGCGGAGCCTCGTCTCGACGATGCCGATGCGATGTTCCACCAACCGGCTGACCGATAGCGTAGACGAAACCTCTTCACGATGGCGCTGACATGATGTTCCATCCGCCTAACCGTCCAGCGGAGTCCGCAGTACGCTGTGCACGTGGCACAACGCGCACCGGGAGTAACCGCCCTCACGTGGTTTAGCCCGCCGGTCGAGGCGGTTGCCGGGGTGTGGCCGCTGAGCAGAGCCCAGCCACGTGGAGCCACAGGTGAGAGTTGGGTGACAGCAAATGGACGCTAGGCGTAGTCTCTCCTGCAAGCAAATGAGCGACCACTACGACCGTCACGTGAACCCACCGCTGACATCCCTACACCTCAACTGAACCTAATAAATACTCACAAATAAACATGGAATTGAAGTAATCCAAATAAACACGAACAGTCTCGAATACGGCGGACACAATGGAAACTGGACCAGCTGTGTTCCCCACAATGTTTTAGGTGCAAGTAAATTTACTAGCTACTTTCACACACTCGTGCGAAAATAAATTGCTGACGTAGACTTCAGCTCTTTTAATTCCATGAATGGGCCACTTACCAGAATAGGATAGTATGCCCTCGAGTACAACGATACCAGTATATTAGGCGGGAATGATATAGCTGGCCTTCCTTGCAGTCATAGAATTCACTGGTTGGCCACCACCGTTGCGAAATCTCATGGCGATGTCCCTATCTGACGAGAGTAGTTAACCTTTGACAAGAAATCCGATTCAACTCGTTCCTTGTAAGCTCCGTTATTGCAAATATCCTTGTCTACGTGATCACCGCAGACGGCGAATTAATTGTAACCGTCTAGGCATTTGCGTTTGTAACTTACGCAATCAATTTTTTGGACGGGGCATCACATATTGCCGCCGTAAGAAGAAATTGTGACATGCCGTTCAGCTGCTCGGCATGTAAACCATCAGTCTGGGCGCTTATAGTGTCTTCTTTGACTGTAAACTGCCATTAAATACGATTATTCTAATTATTATCGTTATTAATACGGGGCTAGCAAAAAACCTGAAAATTAACAGGCTTGCCTTGTTGGCAATACATTCCCAAACAGAAAATGTCACCGACAAGCGTTCACACAACTATACAAAGAATTGGTCGAAATTCCCTCTTTTCCCAATGAATCGACAAAACGTCAAAAGATGAGTTAACAGTCGCCTATATGCCTTGAACTTCTGGCAAATTAGCGTACAATACAAGTTTCTGCTATTCAACAAGTCTAACATGGACATACTGGTTAATAACTATACCTGTCGCCTGCGAGCTGGTAGTTCCGCAAAACAGAGTTTGCGCATCTTCTTGCACGCAGAGTGCCACAAGCCCGATGACTTCCAGTAGGCTGCTCAGAAAAATACGAGGTGTCTGTGCACTCAATACTCACCTGCGCAAAATCTCGAATTATTTCGGAGGCGACCTCCGACCCTCTTGTTCGTGCCATTTCATCACATTCACCTGCAGACATTGGCTTAAAAGATGTTTTAAAGGAAACAAGAAAGGAAATGCCAATAAGAGAAAAAGGATGTTGCTGTCATAAGTTAGACTTAGTGAAGAACGCATGCTCGTTCGCAGTAGTTCAGCAGAAAGTGCACGCTGTAATCGTCCGCATACCAACAAATGTGCTTATTGGCTGATCAACCAATCATGGTACGAGCGTGTTCTGGGCGCGAGAAGAGTAGGAGCTTAACGGCGGCAGGCAATCAGTGGTATGCCAACCTCGAGGTGCTCGCGCTTGGGGAACTTTGACTGGAACCTGATTGTCGTTAGGGTTACGCAGAGGACTTTTGTTATCTCAAAAGTTTTATAATAATTAATAATTATTTTTATTTTTTATTAAAGACCCATCGGGGTCCCATCGAAACATTTATTAAAAGGTAGGTCCTCGTTTTAGTGAGTATTCAATAACACTCTTCTTTGCTGTGTTTCATCCTTTTTCCTTAGTCTTCCTTCGTAGGTTAAACTCATATCTCCCTTTAGAGCTAAGTATTTTTGCCCAAACTAAATACCTTTGCCAAAAAATAGGTCTGATTCTCGATTTAAATAAATAAACAAATTGTCTTATTCATTACACTAAGGGATGCTGTTAAAGTAAGTAAAAACAAATTTTCGAGTGAATCGTAGGACAAGAAGGCAGATACTGTAGAGTGCTCAGCTTGTGCTTATAAAATAGGTAATCTAATATGAAAAAAAACTGTCAGTGGACACTGAAAGAAAACTCCCTTGTTTCTTTCGAACATGAGAGAATGAATTTGATTTAATTAGTTTTTAAGGAGAAAAAGTCTCTCGCTCATGGGAAGGTTAAAAGGGGGCTTGAAAAGGACCACACCACAGGTAAGATGAGATATGCATTCAAAACGGTTCAATAAAGTTGTCCCAGGACAGATGGTTGCGTCTCAATGATTTTTCGGATATTAATTCTTTACTGGTTACCAGTGACATCCGTGCGTCCTCATTAGGTCAGTCCAGATGACGCATGGTCATATGCGTGTAAACAAATGGATGTTAGAGCGCTGTAGTTCGCGATAAGTGAAATGTTCGATGCATGGAACAAATTGGTAAAGTTCTAAAGTCGTCAGGCGACCAAAAAGTCTGTGCGCGTATTCTTTTAGCACAACTCGATAAGTGCACAAGGAGTATGGGATACTTTATGCTATCATTGGCGTAGGAGACTAGTCCGGCCTGTGAAGGGATCATGTATGCCGATAATCTTAAAGTTGGATATCGATAAAAGCCGGCAGATCGTGACATCGTGCTTGAGCTCCTAAAGAGCGAACTGCAGGCTTTCGCCTAGTGGTGCCGCACATGGCGCCTTTCTCTTTCTTGGCAGAAGTGCCCAGCCATGGTGGTTGGCGACGACCACCAACCTCAACTAATTATTGAAGGTCACTCCATAAATGTGCCTGAGGTTACTAAGGATCTGGGCCTTTCATACTCCAAGAGTCTCAATCTCTCGGAGGACTGTGCCTTGATAATCTCCAAAGCACGCAGAACGACCGGGTTTATCCTCCGAAACTTTAAAACCAGGGACATTAGAATGCGCCTTTACAACGTGTTCGTTAGACCTGGCCTGGAATACTGTTCGTTTTTATTGAGCCTCATGCGTGCTACTGAGCGGAAGAAAATAGAATCCGTTCAACACTTTTTTACCAAGAGAATTTTAACCACGGAACACCGACATTTGTCTTACCACAAACGTTGCCGGCTTACGGACCTTGATCCTTTAGGGTTCCGTAGATTACAAAAAGGCATATTTTTGCTATTTAAACTCTTTTATAATCACACATTTAACCCACTCACTTCTTTAAGACATCATATCCACCCACGACGTAACAGTCACCGTGAGGTCTTTATTTCTGCCTCTGATACGTGCTGTTAAATATCGTCGGTTCTATTCTGTAAATGCAATTGTTACTTTGAATAAACTACCCATGAGGGTGAAAACTCTGCAAAATTATCATTTATTTAAGAGAACTATTACCCGATTTTTGCATTCAGAAAAGCTTCCTCAAATTTTGTGTTCTGAATCGACTGATCGACTCCACCGTAGCGATGGCGTTTGTGGTCTCACCAGCTGTTCCTCAACGCCTCGACTTTGACTATGCCCAACTTCATGAAAGGAATTTGACGTCCGATAATCTCCGATACCGTGCAACCCCCTCTCGCCCTTCTTGACGGTCGAAAATCTACCGCCAGCAGTTTTTTTCTCCTGAACCCTCCAAACCATAAAAACCACTATCAACTATATTTTAATTCTTCAGGAGTTTTTTTTTCACTGCTGGTCGGATTTGTGTTTAATCGCATCCCTTAACAATGCCTGTAAACTGGCATTTAATAATAAATTAAATTAAATTAAACTAATAATCGAGAGAGTTTGAGGACAGTCCACGTCACACAGTAAGTTGTGGAGAGTGCGAAATGTTCTGCAAAAATTCAAGAGCACTTCCTAATTACTACATGAAAGGAAAAGAAGGGACTGAAGGGACTACGTGGCGCTAATTTATCAACAAGGCAATTCAGGGTTGATAACGGGGTCTGGTTGCTTGCGAAGCTACGAGACTCTTTATTGTCGAAGGCTCGGAGGCAAATTTTGTAGACGAGTTGCCGATGAGGAGTAGAGAACGTCGGCATCGGGTGTACAATGTGAAGAGTGCCCAACAAGTGCTTTATAAGCGGATGTACGGTAGGTGTGTTTTCTCATGTAATGTTAACTGGAATTCTGAAATGCGTTTTCAGTTCAAAAAGATTGCATGATTTGGGTTGTCAGGTTTGTTATCGTGTCCAAAAATGACAAGATATACCAGTCACGACAGGCTATCGGCTTTCGAACGGGTCTCTAATCGGCCATATGCGTGAACTACATTTCGTTAAAATAGCTAATTAAATAGTGTGCATTTTGCCCATTAGTTTCCCATGTCATTATAAGCTAAACTACATTTTATAGAAAGCATGTATAAAATATTCTTTCTTTCACTAATTTGACAACAAGTTACGTTTTCTGCATATTTAAACTTGGAAAAAATATCTTATGATATTAAAAAATTTTCCAAAGTTTGAGATGATTTTAAGACACTAAAATTTTTGATCATTCAACAGGGCATCATCAGTTTCATTAATGCCGCTTCTGAAGTGGACGACACGATCTACATCTATTAAAAGATTCCAAGAGCTCGTGGAAAAATACAACTCACCTCGATCGCTCATCTGGAGAGCCACTTTGCTATATTTTCGAATGAGAGACCTATTAGCGGTGATTTCTCGCGCCCAAAATGCCATTAAATCACCTGAACTATACGCAAACTTGTAAAAACCGCAATCGGTGGCATGTGTAGGCAAGGAATCTATGACTGGTTTTACTGGACCGATCGCTGCGGAGCTCGGTAACCCAAGATTATGGACGACCTATACTCCTTATTTGTACTAGCTATCAGTTGCCTCTGGTACGTCATCTGTTTTAATAGCAGTCAAATGCTCGCTGATTTCCCTTGAACGGACAGTCCAATTTCCTTTTATTGTTCGAATGAGGACGTGCTTCGCTTCCTCGCACATTTTGCTTGACAGAAAGTGTCCTCTAAGCTGTCCTTTTAGCAGATTTGGTTTGCCTATTTTATCTGCAAGGTTTGTTTTAGTAATTCGGACCAAAATGTGCAATATTAAAAATCTCCCCTTTTGAAGAGGCGCTTTACCCCCAGCTAAGTTTTCGGCAAGTAAACGATTAAGTGAGTGCATAAGGATGTCCAGATCGGCTTGCTCGTTGTTCCTTCGGCGCTGAATCGGAACGCGTTCATCGAGTGCAACGAATTATATTTCTCTGTGTCGCAGATGCGATTTTTATATCTGTTTTGGGTTTTTACAGACTCATATTTTTAAAAATGACCACCTAAATACCAAATCTTCCCTGGCTTCATTTCCACTATTACAAAAACCCAGAATAGAA